ACTGCAAAGCAGAAATAAAATCTTCACAGTGCAGGAGAATATTGACATTCTATGGGCTATGCCTTCATCACTAAAAATCAGTGCTCCTTTTAGTAAATGGATTGTCAGATATTTTATTTAAGCCCATCCTAAGGGAGGCAGCAGAACCACCGAGTGTTGGTGCTCTGTTCCCACTGCCCTTGGCAAAACAAACCTGCCTGGTTAGATAGCAGTGGTTTAGAGGCTGGTGCCAAGGACTTGCAGAAGTTTTCATCTGGAGTCATTCCCTGGAGAGCAGAAATGGTGGTGAGAGGTCAGGGAACACCAAGGGGAGCGGAATGCAGATGCTCAGGGGGGCTGTTTCCTAGACAGAGGTGTGCAGGTGTGTGTTCCACTGCAGTTATTCGTGCTGCAGTGTGCTAAGGGCACATCCTGCTGCAGCGAGTAACAGCAAATGGCACAGAGATGTCAGTTCTTGCCTTCAGAGTCCAGCTGGGGCTGGTTTGGGCACTGAGCAGGGTCACTGGCATTAGGCACCATGCAGTGACTTCATTTTCTAGAATTCCCATTCACTGCATCCTGTGATACCTGGGATGCTAGAGTCATTTTTGCACCTGGATTCTCAGGTTTTTCTTTGCAAAGCTCCAAATCAGGGTGTAAGACCTACGGCTGACACATTCTGCTCTCACTAGGCATCACCACCATCGTCCTACTGACACTATGGCTGAATTCTTTATGAAACTCCCTCTGAATTTATACACAGACAAGTACAAAACAAGTCTGTAGTTGGCTGTTATTATTCTGTTGCTCCTCAGGAGGCTGCCAGGGTTGCTGAGCCTGCTCTCTGTGGGTGCCATACCTGCTGCAATGACAACATCAGCTCTGAGAGCCAGCAATTGTTTTTCTGTCACTGAGCCCCAGTCAAGCTCAGCAACAATCACTTTTGGGTTTTGGCAGTTCTGTCCTTGCACCTCCTGTCCTTGGGGCTCTGTTTGGATGCTCCAGGTCACGTCAGGCTCTGGGGTGAAGCCATTCAGCTGGATGTTTTCCCCCAGCTGTCTGAGAACACGGGGGTGGCAGTCACTGAATATGAATGTCCTGGGCTGGCAGGTCTTGCAGATGGCAATTCCAGTGAAGCCAATCCCACTCCCCAATTCCAGGACTGTCCTGAGGGTAATGGAGTAAAAAGTACTATCAGGACTCTGCATTGAGTTAGAAATCAAAACATTCTAAATGTAACTAAAGGCAAAATCAGTTCCAGATGATTACAATAATTTTTGAGTGAACCATCCACAATCTAACCTCTGTCCCAAGCAACTGGAGGGTGGGGAATAACTGAGAGTGGAAGTGTCAGCATAAAATTAATTAGCTGAAATGCTGATTTCTGTAAGGCACAAAGCATTCCCATCACAGGGATGAGAGACATTCCCACCTGGCTTTAGCCATCTGCAGCACAGTTGTTTCCACCTGAGCTGGCTCTCCAGTTTTTAGTCAGTGGAGAGAAGCAGACACTGAGCAGTACAGCTCCTTCCCCTGTGAGCTTAACTATTATTAAATTATCTTTCCTCAAAAGTCCTTGCTCATCTTGACTGCTTATAAATAAAGTAAAAATGATGTGATCAGAACTGCACACTAATCATCTAACATAGATAATCCTTGGTGAATCCTATCATGGAGTGAAAGTCATTAGTTAAATTACTGAAAACTGAACAGCTGACCTCACAGAGCAGGTCAGACTGCACAGTGCAAGGGTTTGATCCCAAACCATGTCATAAATCAGGTCCTCTTCTGGGTTAAAGTTTAGCAGAACAGACAAGAGCAGCAATTACTCAGCAGCAAAAGGGTGTAATTTCAGTTATTTTGGGTGCATAGCCTGTTATGAAATACTTCTGTTATTAAATTACAGTTGTGTAGCTCACAGTATCAGAAGGTTGGAGCCCCTCTGCTCTGGAGCCAGGCTGGCAGAGCTGGGGGTGCTCCCCTGGAGAGGAGAAGGCTCCAGGGACACCTCAGAGCCCCTTGCAGGGCCTAAAGGGGCTCCAGGAGAGCTGGAGAGGGACTTTGCAGTGCCAAGACTGGTAACGGCTTCCCGCTGCCAGAGGGCAGAGCTGGATGGGATACTGGGAAGGAATTGTTCCCTGGCAGGGTGGGCAGGCCCTGGCACAGGGTGCCCAGAGCAGCTGTGGCTGCCCCTGGATCCCTGGCAGTGCCCAAGGCCAGGCTGGATGGGGCTTGGAGCAGCCTGGGACAGTGGGAGGTGTCCCTGCTCATGGAATGATGTCCCTTCCCAGCCAAAGCACTGTGGGATCCTGCAGGAATGAGCAGCTCTCTGGTGCAGCCCTGCTGCTGCCATACCTGCCCCTGAAGAGGCCGGGGTTCTGCAGTGCCCACTGGGCCAGCAGCAGGGCAGCCTCCCACGTGAGCAGCCCCGTGGTGCCCCCGCAGATCAGCGCTGTGCTCTCGCAGAGGCTCACACTGTCCCCCGAGGGCTGCAGGACACAGGAGGGCAAAGATTCATCAGCACACACCATGATTTAGAGTTTACAATCAACAGGAGCACCTGGAAAAAGGCAGGAAGCACTCCAGGCTTCAGGGTGGGTGTTTTTAAAGCCAATTATTGCTTAGTTTGGTGAGTAAATGTGGTTTAGAACAGTGCAGTGTCAGTTTTTACCAGTAAGTAGCTTTTGTAACAGTGAGTACATTCTTCTTCTTCTTTTAGAACATCTGCCAGTGCTTCATAGAGTTCATCCAGGGGTTCAGCTGCTGTGGATTCAAGCTGTGGGGGAGGAGAACAGGGCAGCTCTGGGCATCACATTGTCATGAAAGGCAAAACAACTGCACTCTAAGCCCCATTTCAGTACAGTGTATTTACACTGAACGTTGTGGTTGGTTATTACATGAGGTATCCTCAAGGGGGATAAAAAAAGGAGAAAAACAAGTGAAAAATAAAGTGAAAAGCAAGAGGTACCTTTTTGATGAGCTCAGTCAGGAAGCATCTCCTGTACTTGGCCGAAGGGGGATATTTCACACACAGAGGGTGAAGAATTGTCTACAATGAGAAGAGCCATGGAAACCAATTACCCAGGGCAGGGTTTAGGAAAGGCATTAAGGACCACAGGAGGACCATTAATTGGGTCTGGGTGCCATGAAATGCTTTGGAATTTAGTCTGTACAAGAGATGCTAAGAAATTGAAATTGAATAAGAAATTGAATAAGAAATTGAATAAGAAATTGAATAAGAAATTGAATAAGAAATTGAATAAGAAATTGAATAAGAAATTTAAATGGGATGATTTCTGACAGGTGTGTGAGCTTACAGAACTGTGGGCACAGATTTCTTACTTTCTGTGGCAACAAAAATAACCACTTTTCAATAGAGCAAAGAGGAAAATAGAGTGAAAATAATCCAATTTACTCTCCTCCTTCTTTTGCTCTTCTCTTCTTTCCGTTTTGGTTTGCTGCCTGATTTGTGATCTCCATCCCCAGGGACAGTTTAGGCATTCCCTGTATCCCGAACATCCAGGAACGGCTGCGCTGACTGCGCCATTCACCACATCAGTGCTCTGGCGGGTCTCAGTTTTGATCTAAGAACACCCAAATACCGGGCAAAGAAGGAAACCTGCAGTTCTGCGGGGCCTAACGAAACACGGCGACACCGGATCACCAACCCCGTGTTCCTGAGCGGTTCCGGCGGCTTTGGAACGCGCGCTGGCCCCGCCGCTGATGGCACGGGGGTGACTCCGAGCCGCCCCTCACCTTGTGCAGAATATCCGCCAGCAGCGCGGAGTCCGGCGCAGTCCGCAGGCTTTGTTCGAGTTCCTAGAACAGGATAAATAAATAATAAATAACCAACGCCGCGGTACCGCCTCCCCCCCCGCCCGGCCCCTCCGTACCGGCCAGGGCAGCGAGCTGAGCGGCCGCGCCGCCAGGAACCGGCGCTGGAAGCGCAGAGCCAGCCCCGGCCGCGGCTCGGCCATGGCCCCGCAGCGCACGGCCGGGCCCGGCAGGCCGCGCTCACCGGAGCAGGAACCGCCCCGAGGGCGGAGCGGCACCGCCCCGCGGGGCCCGGGCACGGAGCGCCAGAGCGGGGATCGAACCCGCGACCCCCGGACACGGCTCCCCTCACCGAGCTGCCCGGGCCGCAAGGGGGCGCCACGGCCCCGCTGCCCGAGCGGGAACGGAGAGAGCGGGAAAGACCGGGATCCGGGAATCACACACCGGGATCCGGGAATCACACACCCGGATCCGGGAATCAGACACCGGGATCGGGAATCACACACCGGGACCGGGAATCACACACCGGGATCCGGGAATCACACACCGGGACCGGGAATCACACACCGGGACCGGGAATCACACACCGGGAACCGGGAATCACACACCGGGATCATGGAAACATTGGGATCAGGGGAACATCGAGATCATGGAACACTGGAATCGGGAAAACGTGGAATCACTGGATCAATGAATCACTGGGATCATAAGAATTATGGAAACATTGTAATTATGGAATCATGGAATCACTGGAAACATGGAAACACAGAATCACAGAATACTGGAATAATGGAATCAGAGGGATCATGGAAGGGTTTGACTGGGAAGGGTCATTAGGGACCATCCCACCCCTGCCATGGCAGGGACACCTCCCACTGTCCCAGGCTGCTCCAAGCCCTGCCCAGCCTGGCCTTGGGCACTGCCAGGGATCCAGGGGCAGCCACAGCTGCTCTGGGCACCCTGTGCCAGGGCCTGCCCACCCTGCCAGGGAACAATTCCTTCCCAGTATCCCATCCAGCCCTGCCCTCTGGCAGTGGAAGCCATTCCCTGTGTCCTGTTGCAAGTAACACTTGTCCCATCTGTCCCGTCAGTTCCCTGCGGGCACTGGAAGAGGCCACAGCCGCGTCCCCCGGGGCTGTCCTTTCCCCAGACACGCCCGGTTCCCTGGGCTCCCCTCACGGCACAGCCGCCACAGCCCCACCATCACCTCGGCGGCCTTGCCTGGAACGTCACAACCGCGCGCCCCGTGACGTCACCGCCGCGCGCCGCGGCGAAGGACACGGCGCCCGAACGGGACCGGAGCGGAGCGGCGCGAGCCGAGCGGGCTGAGGCGCCATGAGCGGCCCCGCGCAGGATGAGAAGCTGCGGGTGCAGCAGCTCCGCGCCCTGCGGCGCCGCTGGCTGCGGGACCAGGAGCTGAGCCCGCGGGAGCCCGTCCTGCCGCCGCGGAAGCTCGGGCCCGTGGCCGCCTTCTGGGAGAGCTTCCTGCGGCCCGGGGATCCCTGGCGGCAACAGGTGAGCGGCGGGACGCGGGCACCGCGCGGCCTTTCCTGGGCCGCTGGCCCGGCCTGACCGTCCCTGTGCCCGCAGGTGCACAACTTCTACCAGAGCGGCCGCTTCGTCATGCTGCGGGTGCTGCTCCCCGCCTGGGCCATCACCTACTACCTGAAGTACCACGTCCGGGTGCGTGCGGGCCCGGCGGGGTGAAGGGAATGCCCGGGAAGGGGCGGGGGGGATAAAGCGGGGAGTGGTCCCACACCGGTTGTGTGAGTGCGCTGCTCACATTCATTTGCAGATGAAGGTTATTCTCCCGTGGCCTGTTCACCGCTTGTGTTGCCTTGCTGCGGTAGCACTTACATATAAATTTAGTGTGGTACTTCATCACAAAGAATCACCCCTTGTGAGCCCCCACCTGCAGAGCTGCCCCAGCTCTGGGGCCCAACAGCAGCAGGACCTGGAGCTGCTGGAGACAGTCCAGGGGAGCCCATAGAGACACCCCAAGGGCTGGAGCCCCTCTGCTCTGGAGCCAGGCTGGCCTTCCAACCAAAACCGTTCCATGATTTATGGCAGTGTCCAGCTTCTCATGTGTTTTAAGCAGAAAAGCTGTATCTGAACTGTTCCTGTCCTGCAGGGACAGCCCTGGGAATAACCAGGGCAGCAGTTGGTGTCGGGAGGGAAAGGGGCCAGCCCTGCCCTCCCTGGCAGGTGTGACTGTTGCAGCCTCAGGTATTTCTCTAGTAGTGGAAGGTTTAACAAGACTTGTGCTTAGCACAGTTTCGATCCCGGAAGGGTCATGGTGCCCATTTTGAACATCCTTTGTGCTTCCTCCAAGTAACTAACACTGTTCTCTTTGCCCTTTCCCTGTTCTCCCCCTGCTTCCAGAAATCGCCGCACGGTGTGGTTGTGACAAACCCACGGATATTCCCAGTAAGTCTCTCATGTCCTGTCTATCTTCCAGCTGTGTCACACAGACAGGAAGGGGTTTCCAGGGAGCTTTGTGCAGCACCTGGGAAATGTCTAGCGAGGACTTTCCCAAGGGATGTACTGGGTCCTGTGGGCAGCACAGGAACAATGGGTTTGGGCACTTTCATCTTGTCCTCAGTCCCTGTTTCGGTGTTACCTCTCTGTAGCACCTGGCTGTCAGAGCCTGGCTGGTGCTGCCCATCCTGGGTGGAAAATACAGACATTCCCTCTGGGAATGGGTGTTCAAAGCCCCAGTGATTATTAACACATGGAATCATGCAGGAGTGGCTCTGCTTCTCCTCCTTGTCAGCCCTGAGAATGTTGGTTCTGGCTTGGTCCCAGTTGTCCCTGAAGGTCACCCACACTCGGGTGTCCCCAAAGAGTGTGTCACCTCAGCTTGGGACAAGTTTCATGAAGCAGAGAGTGCCCCATTGTTTGGTCTTTTCTGCTTTCAGAACAGAAAGAACACCACTGAGCTGTTACTGATTGGTGTAACAAGTCAGAGGGCAAATATTCCTACAGAAGATCAGCTCTGCCCTTTCTGACTGCTGCCCATTTTTGGCATAACACCTCCTAATCATGCTCTGTCTAAAATAAAATTATAAAATATTCCATCCCAAACAACCACAAAGCAACATGCTGAAGGTCAAGCTGTTGGCCTCTGTCTTCAGCCTAATTTTTCAGTCAAGTTAGGTCAGCTCAGCAGGCCAAGACTGTGCCTGGAGCTGGAACAAGTGGCACTGGGGCAGCAGGTTGATTTTTGAGGGATTCCATGGCTCTCCATGGGCTCTGGGCTGTGGGTTTGGACTCACTGATCACTGCTGGAGGGGATTATGCAGTGCTCCAAGTCAAAACAGGCTCAAAATGTGTGGCTTCTGTTCTGTAGTAAAAGCAAGGGGTAAAGCAAATACAGGCTCCAGGTAATTTTGCTGTGATGTTATTCCAGCATTCTGGGGATGTTGGGGGAATGAGAGTGTTCTGAGTGACTTGTCTTGCCTGTAAGTGGGGACAGTTGCAGGTTCCCTGAAGGAAGGCTGTGCAGGGAAGAGTCTGGATGCCACAGGGAATGCTCACCATGCTCTCATCCCACAGGGGGACAGGATTTTAGAGACTGGAGAGATCATGCCACCCCTGAAAGACGAGCACCACAGGCACCACTGATGGCTAGGAGCCCATTTCCTCTGTGGGTGAACGTGGCCAGAGCTGCACCTGCTGTGTCTCTTCCATAAAAGAGTCTTCACTCTGCATTGTCTCAGCTCCTCTGTCATTTACTGTCTCCTTAGTCTGTGTCATTCCAGGTGTTCCTCCTGTGGGAGTTCATTATTGCTGGATCCTGGGGATGTCCAAGGCCCTTACCTCTCAGTGAGACCCGGCAGAAGGACAATGTGGGCCTTGGGGTCATGAGGGAGGCACTCTGGATCCCAGGGGTTTGGGAGCAGGCTGCTCCAAGGAGCAGAGCACTTGGTCTCACACACACACTTGGTCTCGTCTCCCACTCTACCAAATCCTTTCTGACAGAATTCCAGTGAAAATGTATCTTCCACCTATGTCATCCCACCTCTCTGCCTAGGGAGGGTGGCAGAAGAGGCATTGCTGCCAAAAACCCTTTTTACCACTCTTCCCTCTGCCTTCAGCCCTTTCTGAGGAAGAGTTTTCCAACCTCCACATACGTGGGGCACTTTGTACTGGGAAGACTGATCTCTTAAAGAGCAGTGATCCCTGTGAATCCCTTCCAACCTGACATATTCTATGATTAGAATCATAGAATATGTCTAATCATAGTAGCTTTAGTAGCTACTTTGGGGATAGGAATGGTTAAACCAGTAATCCAAAGGGTAACCTGGGTGGCTGTGACAGAATCCCCTCTTGGAGCCATGAGAGACCAGCCCAGCCAGTGTGTGTGAGGAGCAGGGGACAGCTCAGAGCCCCTGTGCTGTGTCTGGGGACAGCCAGACCCCTCATAATGGCTCTGGTAGGGACTTGAACCATCAGGGCCATGGCAAACACGGGGAAAACTGCCCAGCAGTCAAAGGAGATGAGGGAGGCTGTGGAGGCCAGGCCCTTGCCAAAGCCACATCCCTTTCTTTCCTTGGGTTAATGGTGACTCAGGGTGGGACAGCAAGAGGGGAATGAAGTGGTGGGGCAGTAGGATCCTCTGGGTCATCACTGGGGGAGGCTGGGGGTCACTGAGGGGGCAGGAGAGTGAGCAGGGGCTGTTGGGGAGCACTGGGAAAGTAGAGAGCCAAGGGTGAGCCTGGGTGTTGAGGGGTGGTGGGGTTGGTAGAGGGGCTGCAGGGGAGTGAGACTTGTCCTTCCCAAGGCCATGGGGGTCCCTGTCACCACCCCAAGGTGTGCCCAAGGGCCACAGCATGCCCACCCCCCTGGCCAGTGACCTGGGGAGGCCTTCCCTCCCTGGCATCCCCTAACATCTCCACCCCACTGATGGCAGCTGGAGTACCCCAAATCTCCAAGGTCCCTGTGCGCTTGTGCAATGCTTGCAAGGAACTGCGGACTGTGACATCTCCTGGGGACACTGCACACCAGGGGGATGCCTGATACTCCCAGATTCCCCCAAGAAGGCCCTGATACTCCCAGGACTCCCCAATTCCCCTAAGGAAATGCTGACAACTCTCCTCCCCTAGTGAGAATTTGCACAGGACTGCAGGGAACTCCTAGTACCCCCAGAGTGCCATGAACATTCCCACAGCTCCAGCAACCCAAGAGACATCCCAATCCCCCATGTCCCCATGATGTGGGGGCCAGGGGGTCATTTTAGGCACAGACTCAGTCCCAAGGACAGGTGTGGGGCCCTGGCATCACCTGGGAGTTCTGGAACAGATAATCCTCCCTGAGTAGAGGGGATGGATATCTTTCCCTCAAGCAGGGAGAGGTTTGAGTGCCTTAACCATACCAAAAAAGACAACAGAGCACCTTGAACATGTCCTGGCACAGCAGGACCGTTCACCTCTGTCCCCTCAGCTATCCCACTGTGGGAGACAGCACATGGTGCTGGGCAAGCTGGAGGAACCATGAGCCTGGTGTCAGACCACACACTGCTGACAGCTGCTGGACCTGTGCAAAGAGCATGTGCCTCCACAAACACAGTCTGGATCTTCCCTGGGCCATCTCTGTATCTCTCAAAGTCATCGAGTCCAGTTTCCCTCATACCAAAAATGTGGGTGATGCATTCTCGTGACAATGAAAGCAAATTCTTCTGGGTTTGTACCATAATATTCCCTTGAGTGCCCTCAGTGTCGCGCACACAGATATTACACACAGCACTACATCTTCTGCACAACTTTGAGATCCCTACCACTAAAAACTTATCACTGATCAGTGATAGATGCACACATAGATAATCACAGAGTCGTGGAATGGTTTGAAGGAACTGTAAAGCTCATCTTTGTCCCACCCCCTGCCATGGGCAAGGACACCTCCCACTGTCCCAGGCTGCTCCAAGCCCCATCCAGCCTGGCCTTGGGCACTGCCAGGGATCCAGGGGCAGCCACAGCTGCTCTGGGCACCCTGTGCCAGGGCCTCCCCACCCTTATACAATATATATACATTATATATTTAGTCAAGGGTTGCATTTCCTTGCACTTTCATTTCAACAGCTCAAGGAGGAAGATCTCCTCCCAAAACAGTGATGGATCATATGGCTTTCTGTCCTGCCCTTTGACAGCCATCAGGACCTCCTCGTTGCTCAGGCTGCAGCAGGAAGGGTTGAGGGCAGGCACCAGGAAAGAACCACTTGCCAGTGTGAAGTGGAGGTCACAGCAGAGGTGAGAACTGAGGGAAGGCTCATTCAAGTTTGGTGTCCTGGGAAACGAAGACTGTGGAAGATCCTGGGATGTGGAACATGCAAACCTTTTCTCTCTCTCACCTGAGGTGCCTCAGGCAGGAGCTGCTGGTTCCAGCACTGCCAGAACACAACGGGAATTCTCAACTCCCTGCCAACCCTGGGCGTGCCCCCCTGGGCTCAGCCAGCTGGGTTTGCTCCAGGCCACCTCCCATCCTCCAGGGTATCCCATGGCACAGCAGCTCAGGATCAGTGCCAGGGGAGCTCACAGATGGATCTGGAGCTGTGTCTGGGCTGACACACATCGATCCACAGCTGGTGGATCTCAGCTGTGCGAGTCCATGGCGTGAGGATGATGCCTCAGGTTTTAGCTTTTCTGTTTTTCAGATTCTGTGCTGCTTCAGTGTGCACTTCTGAGCTTCACACTAGGGGAAGGTGAGCTCTCTTCACAGAGTAGGCAGACAAAACAATTCCTTCTCTAGCTGGGGACCAAGGACAAATGATCCAATCTCAGGCGCAAGAGCACAAACAATGTGGACTGAAGAGAGAAAAACAAGGAGGATGGGACTTCATGGGCTAAAGCTGTAATTGGACAATTAACTGCAATCTGCAAATGGAGCAGAACTTATCAAAGCAAGAGACCCCATGACTGGTCATGCATTTTGTGACCATTTTGGGTTCACCTGGGGTGTAGCCCTGGCTGGGCTCTTGTGCTGCCCAAGGTGGATCTATTGAGGCCTTTTAATAAATCCCTGCTTTATTCTTTAACTCTGTCCAGCCTCTGTTGTAGCCTGCACAGGGCATCAGGGAGAGCTGGCTGACACTGTCCTCTGTCAGATTTGGGAAGTGCTGGGTGGGGGAGAACCTTTGCAGCTGGAGGAAAGCAAGGTTTGTATGGTCAGAAAAAGCTTGGGATATGGTCCAGACAGCCCAGGCAGCTCTAGGAAAGGTCATGGAATGGTCATTTTAGGAGGCATGGCAGGTGGAGGAGAAGCTGGGCAACAACACTTGAAAATGATTGTTTTCTGTGATGAGGTTTGCTCAGCGCAGAGCAGGAGGTAACATTCCTCTCGCCTTTCAATCCCAGGAATGCAGCTCACTGCAACACTGATGCCTCTGCTGCACCAACTGAATGTTTGATCCACTTTATCATCAATGACAGGAATTTTCTGGAATAACTGAAAACCTTCATCTTTCTCCAGTGCCCATAGATGTGATGGGCACTGCCAGTTATGGGCCGCAGTTTATCCAGCTAAAATTAGGGAATGTGGATCCCAGTTCATTGAATTTCTGACAGGCTGGCAGAGCTGGGGGTGCTCACCTGGAGAAGGCTCCAGGGACACCTCAGAGCCCCTTGCAGGGCCTAAAGGGGCTCCAGGAGAGCTGGAGAGGGACTGGGGACAAGGCATGGAGGGACAGGACACAGGGAATGGCTTCCCACTGCCAGAGGGCAGGGCTGGATGGGATATTGGGAAGGAATTGTTCCCTGTGAGGGTGGGCAGGCCCTGGCACAGGGTGCCCAGAGCAGCTGTGGCTGCCCCTGGATCCCTGGCAGTGTCCAAGGCCAGGTTGGACAGGGCTTGGAGCAGCCTGGGACAGTGGAAGGTGTCCCTGCCATGGCAGGGGCTGGGATGAGAAGAGCTTTACATTCCCTTCCAACCCAAACCTTCCCACGATTGTAATTCCTAACTGAACATGCTGAAAACATCCACTTTTTGAAATCACTAACTGGGCAAAGTTTACTTCATACATTTATCCTCCAAATAAAGATGGCCAGGCTGGTGACACAATTCCAGCCAGGAACTCCCTGCCATGCCAGAGCTGGGGTCTGTGCTGTGAAGATGCTGAAGCCCACACAAGCTGCAGGGACTCCTCTGCTGTGCTTTCACACTGCTCCCACTCATTAACAACCTGTGCACAGCAAAAGGAGCTGAACCCAACTCCCCACACACGGGCATGTTTTGGGTGCTTTGAGGAGCCACCTGCTATTCCATAAGGCTGAAGAGATCAGGGATGAAGGCACCCAGCAGCTCTCATGTGACCTGTGGGACCAGAACCTGGACACCTGAGGGGACCTCATGTGGCACCAGAGTGCAGCACTGAATGTCCCCAAGTGCCCAAGCTCGCACTTCAGCTACTGCTCCATAGCTGGTGACAGATCTTACTGGAAACACTGGAAACACCATGGTGGGGCCAGCGGATTCTTTTAAGCACAAATTCTCCCTTTCCCCAGTGGATCCTGAGAGATTTTGCCCTACAATGGGCAAGGCAGCCCCACTGGCCACAGCAGGATTCCTGGGATGTTCTGTGCAGGGCCAGTAGTTGGACTTAATGATCCTGGTGGGTCCCTTTCAGCTTGGGATATTCCATGATCCTGTGATTTTGGGGATTCCTGCTCTGTGCTTTCCTCAGGCACTGCTGGAGCAGTGAGCCCTCAATTTCCCCA